TCAGGATCCAATGAGAGTATGGTACATATGGTGGCATACCTTGGCGCCGCAGGTTGATTATTGTATTGCCTTCGGATGGTGTATTTGGTTGCAATTCCTTGTGATCACCATGGTTCAGGTATGTAGGACTCTCGTGCTTTTTGGAAACCTTTGCTGAAACGCCTACCATTATTTAGAGGGACTATTGAAGAGAGCTGCTTATCTTTTGGTGCTTTGGAGTTTACAAGATCACAGCTATGAATTGCTAAGTATTGTTGGATGAGTTGGGACAATTGTTTATGGTGCATCTTTTATAGGTGAATCATATCAGCCATGGGGAAGCGTTTATGTCTTTTGGTGGTGTCAACCTTTATTGCGTCTCGGGTGGTTGGTTACCAAGCAACGGGCGATTTCTCTGAAGAGTGTCCGCCAATGCAAGTCTCTTGTGAGTGGATTGTATCAGCAACAAACAACAGCATTCATATCTTTGGTGCCATATCAACCCTCATCCCATCATCCATCTGGTGCTTTCCATTACCTGCAATTTGGTGAACCTCCTGAAACAAAGGTCCCTTATCGATCGATCATGTCAGCAACAAGGAGCAGGTTTATACCTTTGGCGTCAGCAAGCTTTCGATCATCTCGTGGTTCTGATTATCGACAATTCCTTTGATGGATCTCTACAACTATACGCGTCTTATGGATGGATAATGTCATCAACAAGCAATGAGAGTCCGCGTTGACATCTTTGGTGTTACCAAGGTCATTATGCATCTCCTCAAGGCATTCATCGTCAAGCTGCATTCGATTTCCAATGAAAAACGATTGCCATTCACATCGCTCTTTAGCCATATGTACGTCACTCCGCAGCTAGGATCTGGTTTGAGCTTTTCGATGCACAATGCTTTCTCGATTTGCATGTGGTCTTGGGCAGCAAGGATTGTCTCGTTGTCTCTCTTGTAAGGGCTCTTCGGCATCATGTAAGTATGCTCTCTTTGGTGGTATCAATATTACTCAATCTTCTCACTGCATATGCCCATAAAGTATCGTTCCATCGCTTTCAAGCCGAGTGCCACCGTAGCGGGCCTTATCAACAAGCGGACGATTGCAAAGAATCGGCTTGATTTGGATATCAGCAGGATTTCGTGCATATGGCTATCATTGGTAAATAGAGGATGATCCGTTTTTTGGCTCCAATCCCAACCAACATCCTCTTTTATTATAGTGTGCGGACTATTCAGCAATCTGCTTGTCTTCTGGTTCTTTGGGATTTTCATGGATGAAGCTGTCATTGAATGTCGACATGTTTTCGTGCGTATGGCTATCATTGGT